CTGGAATACGCCAATGCTTTAAAAACATGCAAAGCTTTAAACCTATTTTAAATAGGTGTAAAGCCCTTTTTTACTCCTTTTACAGGCCTGGCACATTCCCCAGCCTCAGCAGCAGGCCCCCAGAGCTGTGGGGTGCCCCCTCCCCACTGCATCCCACCCGAGCCTCTGCGTGTGGTGACCGTGGTCATACAGAGGCCACCGGAGCTGCCAGGATCTGCCAGCCACGAGGTGCCAAAGGCAAAGCCTTCCCTCCCACGGGCAAACCCTCCCCTGCCTGGGTGCAGGCTGGCACCTGCATCCCACAGCTACTGTTCAAAAGGCATTTGCCTTTTTGCTGGGTGCATTTTTGTGTGCTCAGAGGCAGGTTCCTGAGCTGGGGATGCAAGGCAGGGTGAGCAGCCCCCTGAGCTAACCCAGCACACCTGGGACAGCACACGGTGTTTGTTAAAACACCAACTCCCTCTGATGTGTATGGCTGATCCTCACATTGCCATTTCCCAAGTACACATTGACATGATAGACTTTAAATCTATCGTGTAAATAATCATCAGATTAATGGTCTCTAATAGTATATAATTAACATGACAGTCTACAAGCCAGTTGTTGTCAACTACACTCAGCAATGCATAGAGTAAGAGAAAGGCATACACCACTCCCATGATGGCATCAGGGAAGCAGAAAAACCAGTAAAAGGAGAAACAGAAATAAAACTCTTTAAAAAAACCACCTAAATGTACAACTTAACTGAGAAACACTGAAGGTTCTTTCAAGCATCAAAACCTAATAAATGTTTGGGGTTTTTTTTGGTTTTTTTTTTTTTTTTGAGTAGGAAGGTAGACTTTTATTTCCATCTGCAAAGAAAAATTCTATTATCCCTGCATTGGTGCAATGCCTCTTGAGTGAGTACAGGTGAATTGGCATAAGGGGCCTTATTCTGATATTGCACATTCCGCATAAACATGGAAATATGTATCCAGTGGTGTAAATTTTACAGTACTGTCAGCTATGGTCAAATTAAAGATTACTTTAGTATAACTATCTCAGAAGTGGTGCAGTGGGCATAGAGTTAAAAATGCAATTGAAAACCAACCATGAGCATTATTTTTGTGGCAGATCACCCGAGACTGGCCAAATGCTGCACCCTCATTATGCTGGGGCAATTTGCACCACTTACTCAAATGAATGCATTTCTTTTAAATGTGTATTAATTTTGTTTTCTTATTAAGAAACAGTGCTCCTAGGGGAAAGTCTCTGGTTAAAAAACAATCTCTTATGGCATTGTTATCAACTTAAAGACCAAATTTCTTTGAGGTATCTACAGACAAGCAAAAAACCCAGACACGTCTCTCAGCTTTTTCTTGGAAAATAAAAATGATGGTTACCCAACTATCTTGACATGGGCATTCAGCACAACTGCACCAGAGCTTATTTGTTCATCTGAGGGTTGAACACATGTCACAGCCCAGCCCCAGAGAGGCTCCTGTCCCCCACCCTGCCAAGGTGCTCCTTCACTCCTTCTCCCCAGGACAAGGGCTGGAGCTCAGGGACACAAACCAGTTATTGGGGATAGCAAAATGAGATGCCACTGCAAACAGAGAGAACCAAGGGTGACTAAATAAGGTCTGGCTGGCTAAGATAGGTAACCGATTTTGCATGGCATGAATATCTCTCAGAGCTCGTTAAGTGCAAATATGCCCAAAAGAATGAACCTCCCCTATGAGACATATTTTAAATCAGGAATCCTAGGGTGCAGTAACGCATGATATTCCTTAAGGCAGTCAAAAAGAAGAATCTGCATGAAAACAAGAAAATATCTTAAGCATCTCTGCATTATGCAGACATATATTCTTGTACTGTGGGATTATGCACAAGTAAATGTACAGAGCCTCTCCTATTGATGTTGGTGGAATTTGCTTGATTAACACTCCACAGTCCAGGTGGAAATCAAACCCTATGGCAGCTTCATCTTGAATAAGAAGAGAAAGTGCAACCCAGTGACTTTCTGGAAGAGATCTCACAGCTGAGCCAGGGCTCTGCATACACAGACTGTACAGTTACTCTGTCATGCTCATCTAACATACAAATAGGGATTACAATGCGTAAAATCTAATATTAACCTCATAACACCTTGACATGTTCTTTGTCCTGCACATGAGCCAGCCAGCTCGCACACTTCACATATGATCTGGAGCTGGACAGGCAGCACTGGAGCAGCTGCCCTGAGCTCTACACAGGAGAGCTCAGGGCCAGCACAAACATCCTGTAGAGCTGGGAGGGGCACCAGTGGCAGGGAAACATGGGCAGAACCTTCTTCTGGAATCCTAAACTCAGAGGACTTTGGCTTCTGCCTTTGTAAACAAATTCCTTTCCATTTTACTATGTGAGTAGCTCGGTCAGGCATATATGGCTATTGGCAGATATTCTGTCAGTGCACAATGTGGCCAGCTGGGTTTTATTTTTTTTAAGAAATACATTTTCTTCGTTTTTTATGTCATTAGCTTTTTAACCCATTAAGGAAAGCAATGTAGAAACTCTCACACTGTAGACAGACTCTGGAGAACATATATGGTCTGTGACAGAAAACTTAGTGTAGAAGATAAGGAAAGTCTGTATTTTTGGTTAAATAAAGGGATCTGGAAGAGCCAGTCCTACAGTAGTGCTGAAGCAGCCCTCTTCCAGCCACCTGAAAGTGTGAGCATGCCACACACATCAAAACACAGTGACATTCAGCAGGAGTCCTACAGAGATATTTTTGCTAAACTCACCTAGATCTCATGCTCATGGCATTATAAAGATTTTCTGGACTCTCTGCAACTCCTCTCGTTCTCAGAAATTACATTTAAAAATTTAAATAAATTAAAACAAACAAACAAAAAAACTTCACCCCAGGCCTCTGCCCAAAATGTTGCCTTGAAAGCACCAAGATATTCCCAGCAGGATGGTGCTTTCAGGGTGAGCACAGTACGGACTGGAGTCATGCAGAGGTGGCAGAGATCACTTGGAAAAATCCAAAGGTGTAGTTGGATTTCTGTAGAGAAAGGTCTGATGTGCAATCACTGACCTTGAAAAAGACTTAGGGGACTAATAAGTCCACATGAGAAGAACCATATTCCACAGCCCTGCAAAAGTTACTGAGAAAAAATGTAAAATAAGATTCCTAATCAAGCCGTCACAAAGTCCCTGCTTCAGCCAAAAAGGTTTCTCTCTATCAGAGATCTGCTCCCCACCATTTTATTCTTTCTTTGTGTTTGTTTTTGGTTTTGTTTTTTGGTTTTTTGTGTTTTTTGTGAGTTCTTATTTTAACCTCAGATTCAACAATCAGCATTAAGAAGTCGGCATTTGCTCCTATCACCCCAGAGAGGTAGGGAAGATACAATTGTATATATGCAAAATAGGTATGAACTCTGATAACAATACTTTGCCTGTAGGCAAAAATTGACTTTTTAAATGGCAGCCACTATAATAATGTTAGCCTAAGACCCACTCTTGCAGGATTTTCCTCTGCTTAGCAAAAACAAGGTACATGCTGATAGGAAAAGGAAAGAGTTTGGGTACTGAAAATACAGGGAATGTTTTATTGGGAATTGTGGGGGACAAAATTGTATAATAAAAGTAAAAGGTCTGTCCCACTGAACTACAAATACAACTGCTGTACCAGCATGGAGTGGAAAGTCTGTAGCCAGACAAGAAGGGCTGCCAAAAACTGCTCCTAAAGCTTGTTAGTCTCAACCAGTAACACCTGAAAAAGCCTTGGGATGCCTTCCCCACACAGCTTATCCTTTTGAAAAACTGCCTACAGAGGGCCTACAGAGGAAGGGTCTAAAGCAGTGGTCTATGGGTTGAGTGGTAAATGATGTCTACTCTTTACATTTTTCTTCCTTACGATTACCAACAGAAATGTATTTCTGCACAAGGGAAAGTGCAAGAACAAGGCCTCCTCTCTAAGCACACCTGAGGTGATCAGAAAAATCCATCTCCTCAGGGGAGCTCTGGGGGACCTGGGATGCCCTGGTGCCACCCATGTGCCTGAATTGCCCCAGCAGCTACAGGGAGCAGTGCCAAGGCCACCCAGCCCCAGTGTGACCAGCCACTCCACCAGGCACTGGCCCTGGCAGGTTCTGGGGCACATCCCAGGGAGAGGCGTGCAGGCAGCGTGGCACACATAACAGTTGAATCTTTGCAGCTAGATGAGCATCAATTATGCATTGTATCAAAATCCAAATGCTAGAGCATGAAGCAGGCAATTCAAAGAAACAGCATGAACAAAGCAAATGCCAAAGAAATGAAAAATATGTCCAAAACTGTGACAGAGCACTCGGCTACTTTTCACGTAACATCATCAATCATCTCTCATCGAAGATTTCAAATACTTGGGAAGAGATTACAAAAAGATTCAAAGATACAATATTTGTATTTTGAATGTTAATTTGACACAAAGGAGTGTGCATGAGGGAATGTTTATAATCAGCACTCCAATAAACTCACAAATGACTCTAGTATTTTATAAGCTTGTTAGAAACAAATCACTCCCTTAGCTTATATTTACTTACTGATGAATAATAAAAGGCCTCAATACACAAAGAGTAAATTCGAAATGTTTTCCTCTTGTTTTATCTTCTATGACAATACTGGAATCCTCTCGTTCAGGCTGTGATTCCCAAACATGTTTCTCCTGGTTTTATGGCTAAATATTGATTTCTCTGTACAAGCAGAGGCAGCTTTGAACCTTGGTTCCTGCCTCCATCCCCCGTGTAAAACAGATGCCCTGGTCTGGAGCTGAGCAGCAGTGGCTGGCCTTGCCCACTGCCCTCGTGCTGCCTGGAGGGGTGGGGAAGGGAGCACGTCCAGCTCTGCCAATTTACACAGCAGTGGAGGTGCAGTCCGAGCACTCAGTCTGAGGAGGAAGAGGAGAAGATATGCACGCCTTGCACGCCTCCTGGAGCAAAGCACAGGACAGTCAAGCAAAACAGTATAAAAAGGGACTTTGCAATACTCATGAACCTGCAACGGTCCCGAACGAACACAGCAACTGCTTCAGTTGGTCTGCAAAGGCCTGGGCGAGGTGTCAGTACCATGCAGGCTTCTGTGACACCCAAAAACCCTGCACACCATTGGCACAACAGCCCAGTCATTGACCACAGCTGAAAAATCCCTTTAGCCTGTTTAAAACCACCAGGCTGCTTTAATGCAATACAAATCATGCTTCAGCAGACAACATAACACCTACACCTTCCAAATGCTATTAGTTATACACCAGCTCAGACCAAAAATGCTCTAGATGCAAGCACAGGAGAGCAGTGCTAGCCATCAAGCCCTGGCAGTAGCTGTGCCGTGGTACCCACGTGTGCCATGAGAGCTGGATTTCAGAAGTAATTGCTGCATGGGCCAGCGTGCTGGATTCATAAGTGGTAAGTAGCACAAATGGAGGGAAACCAGAGTTGGCAGAACAAAGCCTCATTTTTCTAATGTAACTAAGTGCTGAATGTGGTAATGGGAATTGTGGGGATACTTGTCTTTATGCTCTTATTTACCCAATAGAAATAATACAGGGATATTCTAATGCAGATTTTTACTTAATGTACAGTTAAGCATTACACAAACATTTTATTGTGGTCTGTAAAGATGATATATTTAGAGTAGCTGAAAAAAAATCAAACACTGCATTTAAGCATAAGTGCTTCTGGTAGACAAGCAAACACAGAGCAACTTTGCAAAGTAAATGTAACACAAGTTTTTGTTCTAGATGGCCCTGTTGATTCATGCATAGGCATCAAACACATCTTCACCACCCCTTAAAGACAAATCAAACTCTGCCATGGACCAAGCTGGCTGGACACACACCATCTTTGTCATTGCATTAAGATGCTGAAGTGAATAAACACAGCCAGGCCTGCTCACATCCCTGGCACTCACTGGTGCTGCAGAGTGTGAGGTGTGCGCTTGAGGCAGTTTCTGGAACATGCCTGGTGGTCTTCACAGGGAGCTGGGAATCACTGCAGCACTGCAGAATACATAACAAAGCTTGCACAGCCCCTGTTATTAACCATGATTCAGGTGTGCATTGAGCTGATTAAGCAATTAGTCATTACAGACATAAAGCTTAGGATTCACATTTCCAGAGTATATTAGATGTTTTTATTTCTAAAATTGTTAATGGCAGAGCCATGAGAATAAAATTATTTTTTCACCCGTGAACAAGCCATAAAACATTGTACAGGAATTTACTAAGAAGTGTAACACTGACAAGCAATACACTTTCAAAATAAATCTCAGGGCTCCAAAACCATGGCCACATGGCACTGCCACAGCAATCCTCCTCAGGGACAGAAACCACATGGCAGGGAGCTCAGCTCCCTCACCTGCCACTCTGGCCAGCAGCTGGAGCAAAGGGAAGGCTGCAGATGGAGCATCCCAGAGATGCTCCACGGTGTGGGTGAGAGTCTGATGGAGGCAGACCAGGCAAAGGAAGGTGGAACACGGCTGTGCCACAGCAATGCTGCTGCCATCCTGTCACTTCCATGCCACTCCTATGGACCACTGCCCTTGCCACCCTCGCTGCCTGTAACACAGTGCCTCCAGCAGCACAGGGTGAGGTGCAGTGCTCTCAGGCACGGCTCTGTTTTAAAAGCAGTGCTGGTGTCTGAAACCCCAACCACTTAAGCCTGTAGCAAAGTTTATAGTTTGTGCGCAGGTATCTCTACAAGGCTGAGTGTAAAGACAAGCACCCCACAAACCATCAGGCAAGGGGGCCTACTCAGCCTCTGTTCTTCATCCCCAGGTGGTGCAGAGGAGTAGGGAGGCACAACATCCTCGGGGGAGAATTCCTTATACATTGTTCCAACATCAGCACTTCAGCCCCGGGAGAGAACAGTGACTAATCCCCAACCACTCAATAAACTTCATGCTAATGGATGCCAGGAAAAAACATACAATTTCTCAGAAAGGAAGATAATTACTGAGGGCATGTGAAATGCTAGAAATGCAGGAAGCAAACAGCTGAAGGAAAACCCAGGTAGGACATGTCAGGGTTTCACAACAAAAATGCTGTCAACGTGCCACGGTGTGTGTCAGAAGCCTCAGTGCTCTTCAGTCTGAAGTCACTTGGATTTTCCCTATGGCCAGGGGCTGCAATTTTAACTCTCTAGATCCATCTTTGATGTTATTGAAACAGAGACATGAATTTGAAAAGGAAAGAAGTCATGTCATGAAGAAAACAGGAAAAATACACTTTCTGGGGGGGAAGGGTCACGGCAGTCTAAATGACAGAGTACAAAAACTACACCGCTCTCCATTTTTCCAGAAGTGTCCCAAGTACAGTGCCCTCTAGGATTTTCCTTTGAGTTATCCATTTATTTTTGAAAAGCTTTTCTGGAGAAAATAAGCTCTCCTTATTTCCAGGAATAAAAACAAAACAAACCGTCCTCAGACAGCTGGCAGGACAGGCAGGGCACAGCCCAGGCTCGCTCTGGGGCTGCCCCCTCTGTCTCCATGCCTGGCAGGTGTCTCTGAGGAGGGGAGCACACCAGCTGCTCTCAGCCGTGATTGAAGCCAGGCACCTCAGGCATGAGTGGTGACACACCCAGGGCTTTCTGGCGGGGACTGTCCTGTGCCCAGCACCGTTGGCAGTGCTGTGCCACCCCACTGCCTGCACAGAGAGCATGGGCCAAGCCCAGCCCGGGCACTGGGCCCTGGATCACAGAGCAACGCGATGGCAACTTCTACAGGATGGCAAAACCTACAGCGTCACTTACGCTGCTACTGACAGGAGCTGAAGCCTGCCTGTACCATTCCTGCTACCCACAAGTGAAGTCAGAGAAAGAATTTCTCACGAATCCTAGTCCTTGTGTCCCGAGTTGTCCAGCTGTCCAGTGGCACATTCCCTGCGGGCAGCTGCCAGCCCAGGCAGGGCAGGCGGGCCCTGTGCCCGCATCTGACATTGGGAACAGCGTCTGAGCACGGCACCCAGCACGGTGTCTTCACTCACACGTGCTGAGTTGCAGTAACTGGGGAGAATTTTAAATGCTTTCATCCCACCATTTGGTTTCCTTTTGCTGTTCAAAGCAGAGGAAGTATTTATCAATAAAGATTTTAAAAAGAATTAATTATCACCATCATCAAGTCAAGCTCCCTGGTGCCTCGCTGTCCAGCACCTGCCCGAGTCCTCTCCCCTTTCAGTGAAGGATCTACCATCTCTGCACCATCCTTGTGCTTTGGAGCTCTAAAGCACTATTAAAATCAATTCACTTGGTGTCAAAAGCTCTCTTTCTTCTTGTACCCACCAGTACAGCTGTAATATTCATCAGATTTTTACCACCAGGATTAATGTTATAAAATGTCACTTGCTACAGTAAAATTTATCAACATTATTATATACCATAGAAACTGCCACCACAGACAAATGCACTACATTAAAATTTTGTCTAGAGCTCCCTAGAGGAAACATTTGCTGCAATTTGTGTAACAGTTTATATATTTATGCTATTTAATGGTACAAAGCAATAATTATGACTTCATTCACTGATAAGCAACAGCATTATATAAATCAGATGCGGATTTAGAACATGCCAGCTTTGTCACTGGCCTACTACTTGTAAATTATGTTGCTGTTAAAAAAAAAAATCTAAGCAAATATGAGTTAGCAGCAGGAAGCTAATAATGTGCCTCCAGCTGTTCCAGTTAACCTGCAAATGTGGCCATCTGCACCTCAGGAGAAAAAGAAAAGGAGAGATAGAGGGAGGGAGGAAAAGGAGAGAGAAGCTCCCACCAACGCCAGCACAAAGCCTAGGCCCTGAGCAGTAGGAATGACCTTGCTCCTCATGACCAGACAAGCACATATTTAAAATCAGAAAAGTTACCAAAGAATAAAGGACCTTTTCTCCCCTAGACCCACAGGAAAAAAAAAAATAAAAAAGAGAAAAAAAAAAAAATCCTTTCCATTGCCTTTTTTCTAGAACAGGCTGTCTTTCACATCTGAGGTTATTATTTACTGCATTGCAGGTCTATCCAATGAACAGGTTTTTCTTAAAACTTTTGCCTTTCATTTCTACTTTTTAACACCTCTTCACAGACCCATCTTGTATTATTTTTTTTTTTAAATGGTGGTCATTGTAATAGATTTATTCCTGCTTCAGACAATTTAAAATGAATCTGCAGGGCACAAAGGCTGAACTATCAAACAAGACCGAAATTCTCAGATAGAAAGTCACAGATCTTGCAGTGCACAGCAGCTTCACTCCTACCTTTGGGTTCACGGGGATGAGGTGTCCTTAGGACATGCGAGCAGTGTTTGCTCAAAGATTATTTTACAAGAGACTTCTGTGGAATCTGGGTCACAAGGAACTGACACAAAATATTCCCTTTGACATTCACCCACACACTGAAGAGGCAGTGGCTGAAAGTGCAGGTCCTGTACATTGTTACACTTTGGTAATCCAACAGCAGTTTAATACTAACAATTCTCCAAGATCCGTGTTAGCAAGGGCTCTCCAATACAGCTCCTAGAAAAGGATGGTGAGGGTCTCAAAGGATATTTTAATTTCTTTTTAAAGGTCTGACTCTGTAAAACAATGAACTTAATTCCTGTGAAGGGCATGAGGTCAGAGGGATCAGCACACCTCTCCAGACTTGCACCACTCTGCCTCACCCTCACTCTTACACAGCATCTTTGTGCTGCCAATCCACCCCCAGCACCCCAAAAATGTCTTGTTCTGGAACAGTTATCGAAGCTGCCATTGACTTTGAGATACTCAAATACACTCAGGATTATCATCACTCTTAAAGTTAAAAAATCTCATCTTGCTACTTCCAAAATTCAGCAATGCAGTTTGTTTCTGTGTTTTAGGTGCACATCTGTTTGCACCACTCCAAGTGTCATAGATTTGATATAACTCTTAAAGTACTGAAAGTGCCCAATATTGAGCTTTGTGAGCCCTGATCACAAAGGTGGGCAGCATGAGCTCCGCAGAGCACATCACAGTCACAGAACAGGGGATCTATACCTGAGCAGTGTTGTATGGACCTGACTGCTATTATTGCATTTTCACCAAGAAAACGTGATTTATCTTCATTCCTATTTTTGTAACTGTAACTCCTTCCAATGCTAACTGCATTTACAGAGATTTATAATTTGCTTGAAAGATTAACTCGGGCATATATAATTTCAAAGAAACAAAACCAATTTTGTTTCTTGAAAATACTGAATTTACTTTAAACTGGTTTGGTGTGATAATGTTGGGGCACATGTCTGTTTTTAAATCCATCTTTAATGTTTTTCTCTATTTAAGGGTTTTGTGGCCCTATGCTGTTTAACACTTTAAGATGAAATACCTTACCCTGACTGTACATGCAATCAGTAACTGATCTTTTCCAAACATTTACACTACACTTAGGGGATGTTGGTGGATATGATAAAAACTGTGATTTGCAGTAGGTTAAAGAACCAATAGTTGCATGCTGACTCAGTAAGTTACCAGCATTTACCCTCTGAACTGAATTAACCAAAGTACCAGCAGTGTGATCAGTCTGGTTAGGGAAAGGCATGAGGAATCTCTCCAGAGGAAAATAATCCTTCCAGGTAAACCTGTAACTTCATCTGGCCTTTCTAAAATTAATTTAATCTAGAAATTGCCACATCTTTGAAAGCAGCTGGAGTGATGCTCTACTTTTCAATATCAGAATATTCCTAACAGCAAACAACATATACAAATTCTTCAAGTGTCACTGAATATCCAAACATAGTGGGATATTTTGTGCACATAGCACAGTTCTGGTGTTGTCCATTTAATTACACCAAACCTCAGTTTAGTCCACTGCTGTCTTCAGAGGTAGCAAGCAAAGCTGGTCAACATCTACATCAAAATAATCTCTGGCCATGTATCCCTGAGTCTTCATCAAGATTGCCAGGTGATGTTGCACAAACTGTACATGTCTATATGTGTGGAGTTCCCAGGTGCTTTAGCTCACAAGGTCTGACTGCTCCTCTCTGGTGGGAATCCATGTGTCTATTTCCTGTCCCTATCTGTTCACTGCTCAAAACAGCACCAAAAAGAGATCCTAGATATATGCAAATGACCCATAATCCTCATATATAAAAAAACCCCTTCACATTGCCTTAATGAACTAGGAGGGGTAGTGTCAGATGGATTCTCATGTGAGCATGAATAACAGAAAAGAGAAGCAGATGGAAAGGGGCATAAACAGCTTTTTTTAAACTTGTTAATAAAAATATTGTTAAAACACCTTGCTTTAAAATATAAACCTAGATATTTGGTTTGTTTAATTTTGTCAGAACAATTCTGTTCCCTTCTGGCACTAAGATGGGTGATGACAGCAGAGAACCCTATGCCAGTGAGCAGCCCACATCCTTGGAGATGCTCACCAGCATGCAATGCCCTGCTGGCCTCTCCTCAGCCACGGGAATTCTCCCTGCTATTTCTCAACTCTCATTCCTGACACTCCACAGAGTTTCACATAGCACACTGAGATGCCAATGAACAACTCGAGTAAACTCTCCAACTTAGCAAGAAAAAGTGGGGGTGGAAAAATTTAACTCCCAAGGAGACAGTGTGAAAAGGTCAAAAGACATGGTCAAATGGAAGTCTTTCCAATAGCTCCATGGTGCCACAAGCATTCACACAACACATTTACATCAGGGAGGTGAATAAATCTAAATGTTTCTCACACTCAAAAAAGACAGCGCACGTCTGCAAAATGGTTTTTTGGGGCAATATAGTTAAGGGGGAAATGGTTACAAGCTCATACAAATAATGCTGTGACATTTTTGTTCCCTCCTTATTGACCTGAACAATCTGATCCAGAATTGTTATGCAAGTGGCAGAAATACAGAATGAATTTTTAATAGCCCTGCGTGTGAAAGAGAACAAAATTTCATAAAAGATGTTAAAGCCGTTTCCATAATGCTGGCTTATGTAGCTCTCCACAAAAATAGGCACTCTCAACTACAACAGTTAATCCTTAGGATTTACAACACATCATAACTCATTCCTGCTGTACAGAGGAATCCATCTCTCAAATGCAAGTGATCCTGCAATCACAGATGAACTCCAGTACTTAAGTACGATGGGATATGTTTCACAGTGTCAGACCTAATTTTCAGCCTTGACTTTGATTTCCCCTGCCTTGGTGGGTTCCAGGCAGACCCTCAGTGTTACTCTAATGTAGCTTTTTTGTGGTTTTAATATGAATATTGTGTCAAGAAGCTGAGATATTAAGAATGACAATACATTATTATTGCAGCAGGGAAATCTCCAGAGTCCTAGAAGTAGGATTTTGAAAACCACAGTAAAAAATCAATAGCAATCCACAAGAATTCATAAAGGAAATGTGTCAGTCAGCACCTCTGAATACAAATCTTAAATTTTAGCCTAAGCAGGCTGGACAAATACAAGTCATTTAAAAGGCAGAGGAGATGAACGTACCCCAGCTTTTCAGGCTGCAGGAGGGAGCCTGTCTTGCTTGGCTGGCCCAGGAGTGCCTGAGATGCCCTTGCCCTTCTCTGCTGGAGCCCCGAGGCCAGCCCCAGCCCCAGCCTGCCTGAGCCAGCGTGTCCCTGGTGGTTGCACGGACAAGTAAGATGCTGCATCCCTGACACTGCCTGCACCCAGGCTCCTCCCTCGAAAGCAACCATCCAACAGGATGTAGAAAAAAAACCAGCTCATCTGTATTCCCTGATAATTGTGATAATGAAAAGAAATGCCAAGAACTGTACATACAGACCTTTGATGAATTCACGGCCAGACATCTGCTTGCACGGTAGCTGGCCCGTGAGCTACTTCCAGCATCAGGACTTAGTATTGCTTGGGTTTGATTTACATAATCAAAAATACCCACAAAATCAATTAATTAAACACTTCATTTGTATATAGCTAACTATGTATTAATAAAGTGTTATCAAAGCTTCTTAGTGCTTCTCTCAGGAAGAAGCCTGTTTAACTAGCATGGAAAATAGAAGGTATCACATACAGAAATGTCCGTAAGGCAAATGCAAACGGACGGCCTTTGCCATCTCAAATGTTGCCCAGGGACTAGCTACATCTGAACAGGGCTTATTCTCATCATTCAGATCACTTGCCACACTCT